AAAACTCTCCCCATTGGGTCATTTTGGCAAGCTGCACACACCCCACTTCATAAAACTCTGGCCAGGACTATTTGTCTAGCCACCTGAGGTCCCTCTCCCTCCACTCAGTTTCTGCCTCCCTTAGTCTGCGCTGCTCCTCTGGATACTTGTACCTCATGAAGTCGCCTTCCTGAGGTGCCCTCCTCCAGCCCACCCTTCCCAGTGTTGACTAAAACAGGTCCAACCATGGCACTTTCCTTAATGTACTCACTTGTGCCAGTAAGATACAGTCCAGGCTCCTTGGCATGACCCTACATGGTGACCACACTATTCCCGAGTAGCTAGATTTCTTATTCATTTCTTAGAGTCTGTGTTTAATATACATTAAACATTCAGTAAAACAGTTAGTTGAATCATGTGAAAGTGTGTTTAAGGACACTGTGTTTAAGGTCTTTAAAGTGCGTTAAACCTGAAATGATTAAAGAAAATCCTTAGCGATGGTGTTTTCAGCAATCTCTCTCTCAAATGGACTCATTGGCAAATGCCCTTGATGCCATGCTCTTTATTCTTGGGTTTAATAGATCTCAAGCATTACAGATTTTACTTATAATTTGCACTGCCTCCCAAATCACCTTTCTCCCTGAAAACACAGAAGAAATAATATGAGCACCCTCTTTTTAATCATATTCAGCTACTGTTTACTGAGGGATAGGTCCAGTGAGCTTTGTAGAAATGGGTGCGACAGTGGCCTCAGCTCCCAGCGTAGAAGCATAARGTCTTTGTTAGTGTTGTCTCTGCTGAGTTCCTTACTAGACACTGGAAGATTAAAGGAAAAGGGAAAATGATCCTCCTTATTTTGCCTTCTTGGAGTTTGTACTCAGTCAAGGAGGTAAAATTCACACTTAGGTCAGAGTGAGTTTTGTGGCAAATAGGTGGCATACACATTCAATGCTGCAGTAACTGGAAAGAGATTGCAAGATCTGGAGCATACAGGGTGCGTAAGACCTGCGTGTAGCCCGCGAGCTGGAGAGCTGTGGCAGGAGCATGGGGGGTGAGGGATCTGAGGAGCTCTGAGGGTGCTGAGCTCGGCACCAGCACACTGAGAAGCAGAAGGTTTTGAAGCTTGGGTGTGTGTTTAAGAAAGGGTCCCCAAGTCTATTTAAGAATAGTGAGGTGAGAGAGGAAGATGGCGGCGGGGAATGAGTGAGCCGCTCTGTGCTCCGCGCCACCGCCACCGCAGCGTATGTTGCTACTTCTTAAAAGAAGAAGTAAAGATCATTAAAGGAGATCTGTCGACAAGGATTCAGCACCGTGTCAAGAAAAGGGCCTAGATGGAGTGAA